CATTAAATTCATTACACGTTCATTAAATTCAAAACATTTCTGAGCAGTTCAATAAATTTGTCGAAGTTCACTAAAAAAAAGCAGTTCACTTAATTTATCGAGAAAGCAATTCAATTCTTCGAGAATGAATTACTTACCAATAAATATCAGTTGAGTGAAATACCCAAATTTCCACGCATCTTTGAATGATTGCCTCTTATGTTACGTCTTCTCAACAAATCTCAATGCTGTCTCTAAGCGTTTCTGATCGTTGTGGCTCCTCCTCACACATACGAACTAATCCTATGCTTCTGTAAGAATTAAGAAATAATTTTCAAAAAATTAACCGCACACTTGTTCATTGTTTATGTTGTGTTTATGTGAGCATGTCATATGGTACTGGGGTATCTATGAACAATTCTATTGTTTATTATATATTGAATGGCCAACCAATGTTATGTTCGCATGGATCGAAATTCATCTTAATCATATGGATTCATTCTTCTGGTCATCTTTCATTGCTTTATTAAGAGTCGGCCGAATGAATCTTTTATGAATTGTTTGATGCTCAGAGTCATCATTTGACTGTAATAAACTCTTTAAAGACTCAGCAACTGCTACCAACCACTCGATCACGTACTCCATCTCCTCACTATCGAACTGCTATTCGACGTTCCCCATCACCTCCATCTCCGTCGAGTCGTTATGCCAGCTATCGTAAGTTCGCTAATTTACTCCTCATCCGGTCATACCAGAAACAACTCGTCACAGATTTCTTCAGTGATACGAACAAGTTAATTCAATGACAAGTGCCTGATTATTTCTCGATCATATTCAGTATGATATCTCGTCAGATATCTTGTTTTTGAGTATACTGCGATATGTATGCTGTTGAATATGCTGAACTTCTCTTCAGCGTAAGCGAACCATTGCAATAAACTTCAGATGATTTCTTCATGAATCACTTGAATTTACAGCGCGGCGAAGCGATGATCACCCGCACTATCGAGCACCGCCGATGGGCGTTCGTCGTCCCGTACAACAGGCAAGGCCCAATGTTGTCTATCGGTTCGTTCGTTTATTTGATTGGCTTTTTTTATAGAGCGATTGCCTAATGGACACCACTTACGGTTTCTGTTTGTACATTGCAGACGTCCCGATAGTATCCAGCGGACAGCACAATTACCTCTCGTACGCAACCGATTACCGATGCCTCCTTACGAGGATGAAAGAAGTCCGTCTTTAATCGACGGCTACTTGCCCAACAGGCCACCTCGACTTTATTCACCGACAGCATCCTCTTATAGGCCATATCCGCTCATAGGTGATTCATACTCTTTCACCGATTTTAATTCGCTAATTGCCTGAGTTGACACTTATGAAAATGGCATCTTTTACTATGATGATCTCTTTACAAAGCGTTCGTTTACTGTTTGATTTAAGGCACACCTTCACCTCAACCGTTGAGCGAAGAAGACGAACCGATGTCGAGTTCGGTACGTCAACGACGTTTACCTCTAATAGGTTCCATTCCTCGTGCCTCGTTACTCTCACCAAACAGTAATGAGTATTATGCTGGCTCAATGTTCCCTCCCCGTACCAACTATCCATATCAAGCTCCAGCACAACGCTTCAGACGTCCCCCTCCACCTCCGTCCACCTACTGCACACCTCCGACTGATATACCCTCTCCGTCACCTGCGTCTTCGATCGATTATCAACTATACGCACCAAACATTCATGCCGCTTCAACGCCACGTCTATCGCCCGGCTATAGACGTCCTGGATATTTCGGTGATGGTGCACCGCCTTTTGCAAGTACCACGTCGACAAGCACGTTGTCTCGAGGTGCGCCAACGATGGTTTATACAAGTGGTGCTCGAGTGAGCGGTGGTACGAACACGTCGCGAGATGCAACGTCACGCACCCATACACGCATCATACAAGCACAGCCTGCCAACGTACCACTCAGTGATTCTGATAATGATGATGAACCAAAATGGGCAATTGTTTAGACATTTATGATGTATCTTATTAACCACACTAACAATATTGACGCTGTTGTCTTTCCTCCAATAATGGCCTTTTGTTTATCGTTATTCAATCACTTCCAACTCATTTATAATCACGTATTCTTGTCATTCTCGCTAGGTACATCA